TGATAATCTGTCCTATCTGACTCGCTCATCTGCTACTGACCTTCCCTGCTCCCTCAACATTCCAGCCTGGATGAATGGCACCAGCACCGCACTTAAACACTGTCTCTAGCAGCATTAAGGATGGATGGGAGAGGTGCCAGAGAGGAGTGGTTAGGAGGCCTCTGTATAATCCAAGTAGGAGATTATGAAAATCTGCAAAAGGCAAGGGGTAAGAACAATTCACATGCTATTTTTGAAACATTTGTATATTTTGTACAGTACTATTTCTATTAAAAGTTTTCTATATTTCTTACAGTACTACTTCTACTAAAAGCTCCAGTATTTGAGGGGTGCCTGGGTGGCTCAGTTGGTTAAGTGTCTGGCTCTTGATTTAGGCTCAGGCCATGATCTCATGGCTCATGTGATGGAGCCCCGTGTCAGGCTCTGAACTGGCAGCATGGAGCCTGCTTGGGAATCTCTCTCTCTCCCTCTCTCTCTGCCCTTCCCCTGCTCTCACTCTCAAAATAAATAAATAAACATTAAAAAAAGTTCCAGTATTTTTATATTATTTTCATTCCATTCAAATCTAGTTATTCAGATACCTTTGGCTAAAAGAGACATCTTAGAGTTGGCTTGTTGTCACATGAATAGGTTTGTTTTGCAGGAACAACTTCTCTAACAGAACCATTTGGGTTCTGGGTCTTTATGCCAATAGTTGGGGCACCGTGAATTTTTTAGCATAGCTTTTAGCATTCTGGTCAACAGTTATGTCTCCAGTGTTTACTGTATGTAAGACGCTGTACTGGCTAGACATTGTAAGCCTCGAACATTAAAATTTGTCAGAATACATTGCTTTTTCCTCTTTGGTCTCCGTCTCCTTAAAATCTCTCCCACCTGTCCTATTACTTTAGTTGGACCTGTGTCATCTCGGACCTGGACTGTGCTGTCATGTCTGTATCTCTGCCTCCAATCTTGACCACTTCGAGTATGTCCTCTACAAAACAAGAGAGCCATCCTTCTAAACAGAAATCTGATCATATCACTTGCCTGCTTAAAAACTTCTAATGGTTTCACACTGCTCTTATGATAAGAATTCCAAAGTGTTAGCAAAACATCAACGTTTTTAACTTCTGGAGCCTTATTTCTTACCTCTCCCATCTCCTCCTATGCACCAAATCTGTTTCATTTTCTCAAAATGGCAGCTTATTTGTCTAGCTTTTTCTCCTGCTTCCCCATATCTTGCCACAGCTGATTATGGCTCACATTTTAGGACTCAGCTTAAATACCACCTCCTATGCAAAATGTCTTTGACTTTGGGCTTAGTACCCTTTCTGGATGCTCCCATAACACTCCAAGCTCACTCCAACTATAGAACATTGTTATATTGCAAATACCTCTTGATTTGTTCAGCTCTAGCACTACATTGTAAACCACTTGAGGGCAAAAATCGTATATTATCTGTGATTTTACTTCCAGGATCTAGCATAGTGTCATTGAATGAATTAATTAACATTCATTCATTTATCCAACAAACGTTTATCTAGCGTGTTTACTCTATGATGGGCACTGCACCAGGTTCTGGGGTTTCAGTGGTGGTGAACAAAAACACACGTGGTCCCTGTCCTCACAGAGCTTCTGGTCCATGAGGATGATAGGTATTATTCAAATGATCGTGCAAAATGTGACAATGCAAATGTGGCTAGTGCTGTGAAGGAGAGGTGATGACGCTTTAAGAGTCTACAAGAGAGGGTGTGGCCCCCTTTAGGAACTGTGGTGGCTCTTACACTGAGGTTCAAGCATTAGTAGGAATTAGCTAGGTGAGGCTGGGTGGGAAGAGTATTCTATTCAAGCACAGGAATCACTTTGTATGCACAGGCCTTACAAGAGAAAGTAGACTGACAAGAATGAAGGCCTGACATAATCCAGTGAGGCTACAGTGAGAGTGGGAGGGTTGAGGATGGAGAAGGAACCACACAGAGGCAGACCTGGCAGGGCCTTCAGGTCATGTTGATTATTTTCCCTTTCTCTTAAGAGTATCAAGAACTCTCAGCATGGTTGAGGGAAAGGAAGACTTTTTGAGGATAATTATGTCAAGGCACACAGTAATTATTATCTATAATTGTTTTCTCCCAGAACTTTTATTTATTTTGGTGGTTTTGCATAGCTTCCTTTGTATTCATTCTACTGTCTCCAATCCCCATTTCACCCTCTTTGGTATTATGTGGTCCCTTTTTGTTAGTCTCCAGGACATCTAATTCAAACTTTTGGTTTTTTTCAAATAGAGCAAGAAAGCATAGCATTGGCTCATGGTAGCCTATGTGACTTTGTCTGCAACAACTACTCTTTTGACCCATTAATCTAGCCTTAGGTTATTACAATTTCTTTGATGCCAAGATTTGGGGGTCCTCTCTGTTAATTACCATGTTGGTACCTCTAATATGGTTTTGAGTGATTTAGTCTAAATAGGGCTTGAAACTATGTAATATTTCCAGCTGTTGTCCACCTCCCCTCCCCTCTCTGCCCAGGTGATTCACATTCCTGCCAATTAACAAATAATGTTTTAATTGTTTTGCTATGACTAATTAAGAGTCTATAGTTGCCATTCAGAAGAATGTATACATCCTATTTGTCATTCATTTTTTGGTAAATATTAATTGAGAATTGACTATGCATCATGAACTCTACTTAGGTATTCAGGATAGAGAGAATAGACATAGTCCAGGTCTTCCTGTTTCTTGCAGTCTAATGCCAAAGACAGCTAAATACACACATAATTTCAAAACAGTGTGAGGAGCGCTGTGGTAAAGGAAAGCATAAAATGAAGGGAACATAGAGGAGGAAATCTAACCTAACTAGACTTACCCATCTCACCTGGGCTGAGTCAGGAAAACTATAAAAAGTTAAAGGCTGGTTGAAGTCTTAAGGATGAGTAGGACTGCTTCAAGGTAAGAAGAAGGAAGAATAGGGGTTTTTCCAGGGAAAGGGTGCTATATGGGCAAAGACACAAATGCATTAGTATGTAAGACATATTGAAGGAATTGCATATGGTTGAAAGTGGCCATGGTATAGGAGCCAGGCAGGGGAGAAGTGAAAGATGAGGCTGCAGACGTGAACAGAGGCCAGATCATGAATGGTCTATAGTTACGTCATAAGACACATCCACAAGCAGGAGTGAACAAATCCTATAGATTCCACCTTAAAGTATAGCCAGAATTCCAACACTTCCTGCCATCTTGACTCCTACCACTCTGGCTCTGGCCATCACAATTTCTTGCATGGATTATGATAGTCAACTTCTACCTGGTCTTACTTTCCTTGACTTTCTTTAGTCTGTCCTAACCCAGCAGCCATAGTGTTTAGAACATAAGCAAGTCATGTCATTCCTCCATGTAAAACCCTCCAGTGGAGTACCATCCTGCTCAGTGTACAAAGTTTCATAGTTCTACTTAGTACTTAGTACTCTTTAAGATACTGTCAGTTTATGTTGTTTATTGTTGTCTCAGAACAGAAGCACCTCGAATATGGGAGCTTTTGTCTGTTTCATTCACAGATATTCCATTAACACGTAGAACTGTGCCTATAAGTAAGTTGGTAGTCAGTATTTCTTCAAGGAATGGGATGACTGAGACCCAGATGTATTATGATCCTCACCTCATTAGTTATTGTTGAACAGGTTTATTTTAGCTCATCCCCACCCTTTGCTCTCCTTTCCCCTACCTTATCTCACTCCCAATTCAAACCATATGCTTTCAAACCATTTATACCGAAATGAATTGGCTTTATGAGTATATATTAACCTTTGTCTCCCAAGGACACTTTGTTCATAGTCTTAACCTGGGCTAAGTCAATATATGTTCTTCTTTCTTGTGTCAGCTACCCTTGCCTGTGGTGAGTTCTTTGAGAACATGATTGGACCCATGTTTGCGAGCCAGGGGTGAAATCTTGGCTTTTCGGTGAGAGGAGAGCAGTGTTCTGACTAACTGTAACAGGATCTGAATGGTAACAGTCATCAGGTTCCTGGTATAAACCACATTCTCATTTTGTAAATCCAGCATCTCCGTTCCCTCAGGCTGGTCGTACTCTGGCCCTTGGTGCTGCTGCTTCCATGCTGTGAAAATGGACTGCTCTATTTTCTCAGCCTCCATAGGGGTATTAGGCATTTGATTTCTTCATAAATAGAGCAGAGAAATATAACCGCAGAATAACACTGTGGACACATTTAACAATATTTAGTTAATGAGTAAAAGAGCTAGACCTTTTGTTACATCGTCTGCTCTTCCAGTCAGTAAATGTTATCATGACCATTGGGCAGTGTTTGAAATCAGCCTATTCTGATTAAGGCGGTATTAGTTACCTTAATGATAATGGTTCATAGGTTATTAAACAATTATTTTCATATACCATGAAAGGTGAGAAATAGTCATACATACCTTCTCAAGGTTGCTTTTAGATCTTTGGTCCTCATATTCTGAATACTGTCTAAATGAACAGCATATTGCTAAATGAACAGCATATTGCTAAACAGAAGGATTAGTGCCAGCCTTTAAGGTGCCTGTTGTGCTTATGTTAATAACAACAACCACTGCCACCACCACACCATCACCATTTTTTGAACTCCTACTATGCTAGAACTACTATCTTTTAAGTTTCTGTAAGATGCTTTGCCTCTGTTACTTCACTGAATGGTTCCAGTAACTCTTCAAGGTAGATATATAGCTCCATTTTTCTAATTACAAAATTGGACACAGAGAGGATAATTAGCAATAAGCAAATGATAAGTAAGCTGTGACCGCAGTAAAGTTAGAGGAGGTGTCTTGTGGCAGCTTTGTGTTTAATTGGGGGGGGGGTGCGTAATGTGAGGAAGATAAAGTCGCCTTCCTTGGGGAGCTCACCTTGAGGTAGATATTTTTAGCAAACAAAGAGAGTTGGGGTTATTTGGTAATCTTAATTCCCATCTGGAAATAGGATGAGATAGAAGCACGAGCATCTTCTCCATGTGGTTTTGTTACCTCTTTCTACAGAAAGGAGCTGGATATCACCTGGATCTCTTCTGGGTGGCCATCCTCATGGTGGTGTGCTCTTTCATGGCTCTTCCGTGGTATGTGGCTGCAACTGTCATTTCCATTGCTCACATTGACAGTTTGAAGATGGAGACCGAGACTTCTGCACCTGGAGAACAACCAAAGTTTCTAGGAGTGAGGTATGTTAAGTCAGAGGAAAATAGCTGTACAAAACTTACCATGCCACATCTATATGTCATTCAAAGGGAATGAGCAAAATTGGAGGAGAAAAGGCTGGTGATGATTAACTTATTCCTGTACTTGCTGTTCCAGAAAAGACTAAATTTCCATTAGAAAGAAAGTCTTCCATAATTTTTCAAGTCCACTTCTTACGTTACATATATTTCCTTTGATTAATGAAAGGCTAAACGACGCAACGTAAAACTGCAAACAGGCCATCCATTTTCTTGAACATGCAGCTCATTTTGGTGCTGTGGTACGTACTCTATCACAATCCTATTTAAAGGTCAAACTCTTTAACTTTTCAGCTCTGTTGAGATGCCTCAAAACTCATGGGTCTGCTTATGATTTTTAAGATTCTATTAAGGGAAAGGAACTCTGGTTTTCCAGTTCATTTTCTGTCTCCATAAGCACTGAGAAACCTTGACCTCCAGCTGTTAAATTTGGGTAGCCAGGAAGGGCTTGTATAAGACCTTTATCCTGTGTTGAATACTTATTGCAGCAAACCCTGCTCCTAACTGCTTGGGTGAATAGCTCACAGGACAGAGCCATTGTTTCCCACGCCACAACAGTGGGTGATTCTTTCCTGGGGGCTGGGGGAAGGGGTGTTGGATGGGAATCCTATTTGTTAAAAAGTACTCTTGTGTTGTAGATTTGGAAATTAGACTGATGGGATTTATTGCACTTATGAAATTTCCCTGAGCTGTTTGTTAATTAGAATGTAGGACAATGTGATATCTGTCTCCCATGAAAGAAGGTGTAATTACACAACAGTACAAGTTGTTTAAAAAATAAGGGCTTCAAAGAGGCCAGTAATTGATGGACCAGGAGCAAGTGACTTTTTTTTTATTTATTGTAAAGGAAGCAAAAGATTTAGAAGAATCACTTTTCTCTTGATGAATTCAAATCACATTATACAATAGTTAGAAGAAAATTTTGTAGCTCTGTTGAGCTTATATGCTGTACTTGAGGTATTCATTTATATAAGATATCAACACCTTTGCTGTTTTAGTCAAACATTGGTTTGTTCATCGTGCAGTGTTTTTTGAAGGTGAAAAGACAAGAGCATGTTTATGAAAACAAGAAGTCAATTGGTAATCTTTTGATTTGGTTTCAGAGAACAAAGAGTCACTGGAACCCTCGTGTTTATTCTGACTGGTCTGTCAGTCTTTATGGCTCCCATCTTGAAGGTAAATATGTGAAATACTTGCCTCTTCCAGATAGTTGGATATGTGTAGAGTAGAATTCCTTATCTGCAAGATTCTCATCAGTTCTGTGACACACTGAAGCAGAGGTCAGGTAGAATGAGGACTTTAAAAACTTATTTTGATGTTCTTCTCACTCCTTCTATTATTATTATTATTGTAGTTATTTGGTTGAACTGTATTAAGTTACCAATACCCAAGCTTTTTGACCTATGTAAATGTCAGTTCCATACAGTTCAATCTAACTGATCTCCTCTCCTCACTACGTTTCTTGCTCTCCTTATATCCTTTCTTCCCATCACTTTCCATCTACTTGTTCCTAAATCCTGCCTCCAGTCCCCCCATATGCACACAGACTAGACTCCTGGATAACATGAATTATCATTTTGTAACTTTTCTCCTATTCTTAATTATTGCTGACAGTATTTAATTATTGCCTAGGAGAATAGAGTAAAATTATGATTTATGACTAGAAAACTTTAGAAATGAACTTTTAAAGAAGAAAAATGATATGGTAGATTATTTAGAAAGTTAGGAATCAAATATATAGGTTTGACTGATGGGGTGAATATCTACAAAAATAGATGAATATGAGCTATATGGGAAAACCGATTTAAAAGAAATAGGGTGAAAAGGGGCGCCTGGGTGGCGCAGTCGGTTGAGCGTCCGACTTCAGCCAGGTCACGATCTCGCGGTCCGTGAGTTCGAGCCCCGCGTCAGGCTCTGGGCTGATGGCTCAGAGCCTGGAGCCTGTTTCCGGTTCTGTGTCTCCCTCTCTCTCTGCCCCTCCCCCGTTCATGCTCTGTCTCTCTCTGTCCCAAAAATAAATAAACGTTGAAAAAAAAAAAGAAAAAAAAAAAAGAAATAGGGTGAAAAGAGAAGGTGTAGCTGTCATGAAGCTTCCATTTGTGTGTGTGTGTGTGTGTGTGTGTGTGTGTGTGTGTGTGTGTGTGAGATGTAAGCATTTTATTCTTTTTTTTCTATTACCAATAGTGGCTAATTATTGATAATTTGTACTTTAGGCTTTGCACCACAGTACAAAGCATGCAAATTACCTATATACCTAGAAGCTATAAACAACCACTGTTGATATATCCTTCCAGATTTTTCTCTGAAAATTTTTGTTTATTTTTTTTTAAGTTTATTCATTTATTGAGAGAGAGAGAGAGAGAGAGAGAGAGAGAGCACGCGCACATGCAAGTGGGGCAGGGGCAGAGAAAGAGAGAAAGAGAGAGAGAACCCCAAGCAGGCTCTGCACTATCAGCACAGAGCCTGATGCAGGGCTTGAACTCACAAACCGCAAGGTCATGATCGAGCTGAAGTCAGGCGCTTGACTGACTGAGCCACCCACGTGCCTGTATTTTGTGTTTATTTTTAAACAATTCTAATTTTTAAGATTTTTTAAATGCTTGTTTAATTACACAAGTTATGGAGCAGTACATTCTTATAGAGAATTCAAACAATATAGAAGTATAGAGACCAAAAGGCGAAAGCCCTCCTTTTCTCTCAAGTTGACACATTTATAAGTCAGTTGCCATTGAGATGAATTTAAGGAAAGTGGAACTATAATTTCTTAACCTATAGCTAAGACCAGCTTTGCCCTCAGGGTACTTAGATTAATGCATACCTTATGTACAAAATACTTGGTAAATAGTTAAAAGATGTAAATATTCATCTCTTGTCCTTGGTTTCCACAATGTCAGTTAACTGATTTAACTGATTTCTGACTAGAATCATGAATAACACATGGGAAAGTAAAATCAAAAATAACCTCAGAGTTGTTTCTGGTTACATATGGAGGACTCTACAGGTCAGGGTGCTGGGTGGCTCAGTCAGTTAAGTGTTCAACTCTTGATACTGGCTCAGGTCATGATCTCATGGTTTGTGAGTTCAATCCCTGCATTGGGCTCTGCGCTGACAATTCAGTCTGCTTGGTATTCTCTCTCTCTTTCTTTCTCTCTGCCCCATCTCCAACTCGTGTGTGTTCTCTCTCTCTCTCTCTTTCAAAATAATAGACTTGGGGTGCCTGGGTGGCGCAGTTAAGCGTCCGACTTCAGCCAGGTCACAATCTCGCGGTCTGTGAGTTCGAGCCCCGCGTCGGGCTCTGGGCTGATGGCTCGGAGCCTGGAGCCTGTTTCTGATTCTGTGTCTCCCTCTCTCTCTGCCCCTCACCCGTTCATGCTCTGTCTCTCTCTGTCCCAAAAATAAATAAACGTTGAAAAAAAAATTAAAAAAAAAATAATAGACTTAAAAAAAAAGAGAGAGTACAGGTCTTACATTCTACAGGGACAGAGAGAAATCTATTACCACTTTTGCCAGTGCAAAGCAAATTGTGGGGTAGGTTTGAAGTTGTGAGTTTCACAGCATCAAATCCACTACCAAAAGGCTTTTTGTTCCATTGTTGCCCCTTAGCTACCAGCACATCAACTGGTGGAAAGTGTAATGACAGCTTTTTACCACAGAGGCAATGGAACCTCTTTTTGGACAGATCCATTTTTAGAGAGGTCATTGCAGGCAATTGTGATCTCATGTTGTGGGAGGATCTACTAAGAATGAATTTGCCCCTGGGTTTCCTAACGGTGGACTTACACAACACAACTGCAGATTTTTCTTTTTTAATAGGGTCTCTTAGTTACTAGTAGAGGATAAATAGAAATCTTTCCATCAGTTCAAATGTACCTATCAGTCCCCACCCATTTTTTCTTTTATTTTTATATTATTTCTTTTCATTAATACAGTATAAAATCCTAACTCAAAAAGTCAGATGTGTTTAAAGGCTTTTTTTTTTTTATTACAGCAAATGGGCTTTAATCTTGGAGAATCTGTCAGCTGAGTAATCATGTACGATCCCAAAGGGACACAGAGAACAGATACTGTATAAATTGCTATTTTTAGGAAGAGATGCAAGACATTTTCAACAACGCCTCTTCCTGACTATTTTCTAACCCTGCACCCAAATATGGCTGCAGAGGAGTTAAAGCTGAGAGCCCTTTTGTTCTTTATTTTACGATGAATCTTTTTGCCCCGATATGCAAAGCATCTTAGTATCTGCAGGAGCAGATTAGAATGCAGAGAAAGGAGAAAGAGAGGTACAAGGGATCAATGAGCATGAGTTCCTTTTGACCTTCCTTAAGCTCACCCTTGTTCAGCTGCTAATGTTCATAATCATGGCTATTCCCACCTGGCAACTCTGAGTCCATGCAAAGAGTCATTGTAGGAATCATCAAAAAAGGTAGTTTAGCAGACATTTTTATTAGGCAAGGTTTTGCCCAAAATGTGGGAAATGAAATTATTTTGTTAATACAGTTTCCAACATATTGTGGGTAACCTCAATTTGAAACGAACAAGAATAAAGCAGTCCAGCATTGAGAATTGTGATTCCTTAACTTCAGTAAGTAGAACTATTCTTTACTTCAGGAATCACATCAGCTGATTTCAGATCATGTGCCCTTCTTATCGTTGAAATTTGGTGGGTTATAAGTATCCACTACAGAATTGTTGGTAGCTCATGTGAAAACTCAATACAAGAACAAGCGGATGTTGAGGGTACAGTTTAACTAAAACCTAAGTTATGACTAAGTAAAAGTCAGGATTAACCATTAACCTCAGAATTCACACAGAAAGGGGTATCAGGGGTTACTTTGGAGGAGGGAACCTTTCTCGTCCACCATTTGACTAATGTGTGTTTTAAAGGAACAAGTGACAACTTTAGAGAATGGTTTTACTTAAGAGTCTACCTTTGAAAGGCAGATCAAATGAACAGGATCAAGAAAAATATGTGGCTTTCACTTTTTAAAATGACATGGCTCAACACCTTCCCTGCTCAGCTCCCTGCATCCCCACAGGCTTAGCGGCCTCAGATGATGTAAGTAATTTTCTCCCTGCATTAAGCAGGGTGGGTAGTTGTTGCCTGAGCCTACTTATGCAGGCTTACTTTGAACATGAATTTTGTGACCTCTGTTTTGATCTCTTTGCTGCAGTCTGTCTTTTTACATGGAAGAGTGTAAGGAATCATAGCGTATTAGCTTTAAGTTCATGAGGATACCCCGTGACCTTAGCTAGCTGCAGTCATACGTGCCTCAAATCCCACCACCGATTCAGTACAGAACTGTGGGGAAGCAGGAAGAACTGGCTTCCCAGACCGGTTAAACAGTTTAGATCTGTGTCTCTGCAGCAGAAACACTGCCTGTTAAGCTAGTGTTCTGTATGGGGAAACTGGGGGAGACCACAGAGCAGCAAAAAAAGATGAAAGACAGTTCCTAGAGCTTTCTTTTCTCATTCTTTTGGCAAGCTTCAAGAAATAAAGATCAAGTAAAGTTCACTGCTACTTCTGTTGCCTTTGCTTGAATTAGTTCATTTTTAACATGAAGCGTAGCCACAATTTGTCTTTGAGATTTGTTTAGGGTTCTAAAATGTAGAGGCTAGCGTTTAATGTGTATCTGGCAAGCATTTGTCGAGCTCCTACAATATGCCACACATTGTGCTCAGTAACAGGGAAACGAGGAGAGGGGACAGTGAGGACGAGGAAGATGATGGTGGTAATAGCCACTTACATTTACTGAGGTTGGCATTGGACCAAGAGCTCTGCACGGATTTTTTTTTTTTTATTTAGTTCTCCAATAAAACCTATGAAAAATGTACAGGGGCGCCTGGGTGGCGCAGTCGGTTAGGCGTCCGACTTCAGCCAGGTCACGATCTTGCGGTCTGTGAGTTCGAGCCCCGCGTCAGGCTCTGGGCTGATGGCTCAGAGCCTGGAGCCTGTTTCCGATTCTGTGTCTCCCTCTCTCTCTGCCCCTCCCCCGTTCATGCTCTGTCTCTCTCTGTCCCAAAAATAAACAAACGTTTAAAAAAAAAATTAAAAAAAAAAAAACCTATGAAAAATGTACATATAATTGCATCCATCTTACAGATAAAAAAATATATAAATAACTTGCCAAGTCACAGGGTTCTTAAATGGTAGAGCCAAGATTTGAACTCAGGCAGTTCTGACTCCAAAGCCTGATCTCATAACCATCATGGTTTATTGCCTTTTAAAATAAAACAATATTGCCCTCAGAGAACTCATTTACTTTCATTTCCCATGAGTTGATCTTCCCCAGCTTCTTTGATCCAATTTCCAGTTCTCTTATGTAGAGAGAAATGTGACATTTTCACAAACTCTTCATCATAAGTCACTCCATGGCTTCTTCAATGACTAGGGACCAGATTGCAAGGCGGCAGCTTCCTTATGGTCCCAGATTTTTAAAGCTGAAGGGCATTAGGATGTTATTTTCATAACGTATTCCTGAAGACAGTCACTATAGTTGAAAGAACAGCATTGCAGAGCTTATATAAAACCGAGGCTTCAAGTCTGACCTTGCAACCATCCTTCTGGCCTATGCTGCTGCCCTACCCCCACTACAGAGGGACCAGAGGGGGCTAGGCTGGGCAGTTGCTAGTGATGGTTCTGATGCAAATAATGACATCAATACCACACTTATCATTTCTTGAGTGTCTATTATGAGCCAGGCCCTGAACTAGGTATTATGTAATCTTTATCATAACCACTGTATAGATGAGAATACTGGAAATAGAAGGGGACAGTTTTCTCTGAGTTCCACAATGGGTAGGGCCAGAATTGGAACCCAGGTCTGTCTAACTTCTATGCTTCCATGTTCTCAATCAGTACCTCATTCTGAGTTTTACACATACACACACATACACACATACACATACAAAATGATTATTATTCTGCTGGGAGGCTTCACTCCTCTACTGAATTCTGTACTGTGGACAACCCACTACCGTCTACCTTTCTTATTAAATTTACCCTTTCACATTTTTTTCTTATGGGAATATTCTAACACTATCAGAAAATCAAAGAGAGGGCTAAGTAAAAAAGAGTGCAACTACATTCACTAGAATTTTAAAAATTGGGGGATGTAGTCTGAGTATGTGGAATCTTCATTGACTTCAATTTAATTTTTCTATCTGGTTGTAGGATCAAGCATTTAACTTTTTCATTTTTAATGTTTATTAAAGGCATTATAATATTTATTTACAATTAAGCCTTTTGGTTTTCTGGGTACATTTGTATAATTTTGTTTGCATAATTTTATCACTTGGCATTTCTTGAAGTGCCTGTGAATCTAGTATTCCTTGTGTTTTTTGAGTTTTTATTTCTCCTGTCTTGCCTTATAAAAATGTCTACCTGCTACTGCTATGTATATTATACTAGTTTAATTTAAAATGGGATCACATCTTTTTAAAACATTCTTTTTTTTCTTCCTTTGGGAAATTTCTGTTGTGATGCATTTTTAAGGATTGACCTTTTGATATGACTCATGAACCAAATCCAAAACAAAACAAAACAAAACAAAACACCAAAATCCTCTAACCCAGTAATTCTGTCAGGTTTCATCAAGATTTCCAAACTGAAAGATTTTTATTAAGATACACTGCACTATCTTAAAGAAAATGGTCAATTTTGTAAGACATCTGTATCACATTAAAGATGACCGCAAAATTGAATCAATAGCCTTCCTTATATGTGCTATTTCCTTTTCACCAAAGAATATTTTTTTAAAAAACATCATCATGGGGCACCTGGGTGGCTCAGTTGGTTGAGCGTCCAACTCTTGATTTCAGCTCAGGTCATGATCCCAGAGTTGTGGGATTGAGGCCCACATCAGCATGGAGCCTTCTTGAGATTCCTTCTCTCCCTCTGCCCCTCTCCTCAACTTGTTCACTCTTTCGCTCTCTGAAAAGAAAGAGAGAGAGGGAGAGTCTGTTTCTTTTGGGGGGGGGGGGAACAAAAAAAAAACCCATCATCATATGTAAGGCTGTTATCCTACCCATACCCCATTCTGAGTTAATGGTACCTTCTGATTTTATTTTATGGTAGATTTGGTGAAATCTATCATAAATTCAGAGAGAATGGACCCCAACACCATAGCACAACTTTCCACCACTCTGGTGCTAGAACTGTAATAGAGAAAATATTTGGCTAAACTTAGGGGAGGGGTGGAGATAAGGCTCAATATCACCTTTGTGATTACTTTCTTTCAAGCCAGAAAAAACACTTCACCCAGATTAAAAAGTAACTACTACAGGATTTCTAACTAGTTGCCCAACTGTAAAAGAACTATACTTCTCTTTTCCCCTTCTACCTTTCTTTCCTTCCCAAGGTATTAGAAATGAGATAACAGGAAAGGGATCATCATACAGTAAAGGAAAATGGGAGTGCCCTTGCCTGCAAAAGACATTTTAAAAAGTTTAAAAATGAGTGAAAGCTATGAAATGGTTTCTTTGTTAGTTATTTTTTGGTCAGTTCTCACAGAGGAATGGAAATGTGCACATTCTAAAGCAAACAAGGCACATGTCAGACCTCCAGTGCTTGAATGTGACGTGCTCACCTCTTTGTGGTGACTGTTAGGTATTACAGCACACGTGGCTTCCCTACCACTCCGGCCGCCCCTCCCACCTCTTCAGCATTCAGTGTCATATTTTTCTGAGATCAAGATCAGATTAGCTATGTTACAATTATTAGTTTTTTTCTAGAAGAATCATGTGATATTCTGTGTAAATAAATATATGTATTACATATAAATTTAGTAATTCCTATAGCTAGCCAATAACAATTGGAGATAGTCATGACATATTTTGAGTATACTAATTCCCCAGTAGGGGTCAAAACTACAAAACTGTTTCATTTTATTTATTTGTTTATTTATTTGTTTGTTTGTTTATTTAATGTTTACTTATTTTAAGAAAGAGACAGTGCATATACATGGGGGGGAGGGGCAGAGAATCTTCTTGCTCAGCGTGGAACCCGACACAGGGTCTGTCTCAGGACCCTGAGATCATGACCTGATCAAGAGCTGCTTAACTGACTAAGCCACCCAGGTGCCCCAGATACAGAACTGTTTTAGGTAATTACAAGGAGAGGCTGGTAGAAATTGTGCTTCATTTAATACATGTAATAGTTCTTTAAAAATTACTCTGAAGTCATACTGTTTTCTGGCTACAATAGCCTCCTTTATGTAGAATTGGTAAGATGGGACTTAATTGATTGTGGTTTTTGAAAACTGAAATTACTTGCACTTCTTTTCAGAATCCAAGCTTGAGAACCTTTTGTTGTTTAAATAGAAGACTTCCCAGAAACAGAATCATCCTTGTTTCCACAGTACTCAGGACATTTCAAAGGTCTAGGAATAGATAAAACTCAGGGAAGATGGCTTTGCAACTTCCCATTGTTAAAACACTTTGTATTAGTACAAAAGACTTGCTAATTAATGCATTAAAATTATTAATTCACTTTTTAAAGATGTGTATTATTACATGTGTGTAATGAGTTGCTTCTGTATGCTCAATGCTCCTTTTAAGCAGTGTTCTCATTATTTAGTCCTCTTAATATTCCTTAGAGAAAGAAAGGGGACAGCCACTTCAGGTTTGGTTCATTGAGAGCGGCATTTACACACCAAGCCAATAGATCATTTGGCAAAAATTATTAAGGAAAAAATCAACAGGCTGTTGGAAAGGAACTTGGTCTCAGGAGCTAAGCAACCGTCTGCTTCTCTTTCTACCTCACAGTCCATGCAAACATCTGGTTTACATAATCTTTCCTTTTAAGGGGAAAGGAAAACAAACTTTTTTTTCCCATTAAAAACTTATTTTTTGAGGTCATGCATGCTCATTGTTTAAAAAAATGCAAACAGGATCAAATGAAAGTTGAAAGTCTCCCTCCATTTATTTCTAGCACAGAGTTTAGAAGCTTATCATGATGAGTATTATTATGTCCTATCTTTTAGTTTCAGATTTGGCTTTTATTTAAACTATACTTCTTCATTATTGTTTTTATTATTGTTGTTTTTAACCTCTCTCTGACTTTTTTTTTTCTTTCTAGTTTATTCCCATGCCTGTACTGTATGGCGTGTTCCTGTATATGGGGGTAGCATCCCTTAATGGTGTACAGGTAACTTTTCTATAGCAATCTAAGTATAGTTGTATTTTTTCCAGTAGTAATAGTAGTCCAGTAACAGATCTTTGAGGAAAAGCGCTACTCATTAACTGCTGAGTTTTTTAAATGCATATATTTGCAGAAAACAAACTGGTGGTTGCCAGAGGGGAGGTAGGTCGGGGGATGGGTAAATTCGAGAAAGGGAATTACCAGTACGCTTCTCATGATGAGCATGGAGTAATGTACAGAATTGTTGAATCGTTACACTGTACACCAAAAATAATATAACACTGCATGTTAAAGAACGAAAATGCATTTGTTTGCTACTTTCTCTGCCAAACACCTGCTTTTTATTTGAGTTAATTAACAAAATTAATTTGTGTTAACAAATGTTATCATACATACCCATTCTCGAAATAAGCTGTCAAAGGTCATTTCGCTAGGAAAGTGACAGAGGACCTAGGATCACCTTCCTCCCTCCCTTCTGTCCTTCCTCTTCTCCTGCCTTCATCTCCAGAAAGAAATCTAGCCCTTCCAGTGTGCTCTTCAAGATCCTATTTATCTCTTCACCTTTAAACTATTCTAAGAACAGGCTGTTATTTGATTTACTTTTCATATGGCTGTGATCAGTGATCAAAAGTTTTGAACCAATAAAAGAATAAAGTCAATGTGGTTTAGTGCTACTTTTGTCCAAAACTTCAGCTATCCACAATTTGGGTAAAACTGGCCCCCTTTAAAAAAAAAAAAAATCATTAGGAAGAACTTTGTAAGGGACTTTGTCTTTCAATTGAGGTTTAATTTAAGTGGCACCAGGAAACTGGAAGTACTTCTGCTGTTTTCTGGCACCTTGTTAATTGTAGCCTTATTTAGCACTTACTAATGTTTTAATGGGAAAAGACGGCATGTTCTGTGAACATCATAAGAATTCATTTAAACCCCCTCATAGTAGTCCTTGCTTTCATTTATTGAATTTAGATTAATTTGGTTTTAGAGTCAGATAGAGCTGGGCAGGTGGCCAGACCCCCAAAAGCAGACAAGGCTATTTTATTTTCCCTTCTTTAGGTCCCATTAGGATATTTGTCACAAAATACAAGGTGGTTCTTCATAGATTGGACTAGATGAATGTGAATGGGGGTTTACTTGTGCCTGTGAAACTTCGGACAAGTACAGATATATAAAAAATAATTTATTTTTACCCGGCATTGTAAAAATATTCTTTTTTTCCCTCAATGGAAAAATATAAAACTAATAATGGCCCCCAAACTAATAGTTCTTTTTTCTTTTCTTTCTTTTTCTTTCTTTCTTTCTTTCTTTCTTTCTTTCTTTCTTTCTTTCTTTCTTTCTTTCTTTCTTTCTCTCTCTCTCTCTCTCTCTTTCTTTCTTTCTCTCTTTCTTTCTCTTTCTTTCTTTCTTTCTTTCTTTCTTTCTTTCTTTCTTTCTTTCTTTCTTTCTTTCTTTCTTTCTTTCTTTCTTTCTTTCTTTCTTGTTTTTGTTTTTGCCTTAATAAGTCAGTCTAGATCAGAAGTTAGACTTTATGTCTTTAACTGATGATTGGAGCTCATTACATGTTTATTAAATTAAACAGAAGGCAAAAAAAAAAAAATCAAGAATTTCATAGTGATGGGGAAAAAACCTTTGCTAAAGGGACAGCTAGTGGATTTCTTAAATTCAGCAGTGCTATTGCCCCTATTGCCTTTTCTCTTCACTTTTCTCTCTATTCTCCCTCTTTCAGACCTTTTGGCAAGATTTGATTTAGCAAGAAATTTTGTAACACAATCTTTATAAACAGCAAGGCCCCCTCCAATGAAAAGTAGGCCTGGATGGAGAAAGAAAGTTTGTTACATAGCAAATAGCTTCTGAGCAGCTTGTCCATAACAGTCTTCTTTACTTGTACACTTCTCCCTTTCCTCCAGAAAGAAAGCAGAAATACTGTTTCAGAGTTTTATTACATCATAATTCAATTCAGCAGCTATTTACTGAATATCTTTTATTTGAAAGATCCTATGGTAGGTACTGAAATATCATTCTTATCATCATCAACGTAAACTCAGCAGTTAAGCTTTGAGGCACAGTACCTGGCACAGAGATGCTCGGTGGTCAGTTTAGTACCTGTTTCTGCACAGCACTGTAATAGCCTCCCCTAGGTTCAGATATCTGGTTGTTGATACTCTGAAACTCACTATAAAAGTCCTATGGCTTTTCTTTGAAAAGAAATGGTAGTGAATTGCTGCATGTTATTAGTTAAGTTATGCCGTAGATAAATAGTATGGAATTTACGAAAATACCAGTGCATTCCCATTTTCAAGTTGGATGCTTCCTTTCTATCCTTGAAACATCCCTTAAATGCATAAGATGCATAGTAGCATCCTCTCTTCTTTCAGGTAAGGTGACTGAGGCAGAGTAAGATACATGACTTACATGTCTTCCTTTAGCACATCATGACGAAATTAGTCACAAGATCCTCTCTCCCAAGACTCAGATAGTAAAAATAGAAAGGAAGAGATGAGCATCTAGAATTTATATTTGGCTTTGTGACTTTATTCTTTGGTAGCCACTTTATCTCATATATCTACATCACATTCCTGCAAAGTAATAGGAATCGGAAGACTCCTCTTATGTCTCACTGTGCTGGACTAAATTTCTGCACTCCCTGACCAATGTCCTCTGGAAGGGATACTACTTGCCTAAACTATAGTATATAAATCACTAATCATTAGTTAGGCATTGTGGAAAAGAGTTTGCATATCAGCTCTTGAAGTAATACAGTTGTACTCTCTTCTTCCCTCCCCAGTTCATGGATCGTCTGAAGCTGCTTCTGATGCCCCTGAAGCACCAGCCAGACTTTATCTACCTGCGCCATGTCCCCCTGCGCAGAGTCCACCTGTTCACTTTCCTGCAGGTGTTATGTCTAGCCCTGCTCTGGATCCTCAAGTCCACTGTGGCTGCTATCATTTTCCCAGTCATGGTAGGGATTCCTTTCCTTGAGCCTACCCATCAAGTCATACCAATATCATTTGTTATTGTAATGTAGAAGACATATATGTCTTCTCTGTGTGGTTCTACTCTTTTCCAGCTTTGACCAAATAACTTTGAATTGATCAGTTGTAATTTAAGGTTCCTATGTCTGTGGTCATCTCCACTGGACTTTAGTGTCAGACTCAGCTGAGTTCAAATCCCAGTACTGGTTTCTGCTGATCAGGGAGCCTTCATGAGCTGCCATTAACTTGTTCGTAAAATGGGCATGGCATTAGTATTGTTACTCTGAGCATCACTAATAAATATCAAGTATAGAGCACAGTGCCTGACATTAGGTAGACATCAGTGCACATTAGTTATCTTTAAAATATTGTATAATAGAATCAGTCTAAATAACAAAGCATAACGCATTTCAGTCCAAATAATAAGAAAGCAAGTTTGGCAGCTTCTGACAGGTCATCCAGTGACTTAGAAGAAATGGAGTGAGAAGTGCAGTTTTTGAACTGCTTGCTAGTTTGCATCATGCTAAGTTTAAGGGTAAGTCTGGGCTCTCAGATGATGAGAAGCAAGGTAACATAACTAACATTGCACTTAGAAGTACAAGTGAAAGAAGTAAAAAAGGAAATGCTAGGTCTATTTTTGGCTTTATCACTAAATTTTATACTTTACCATAACTTTCCATTTTTTGCAAGAAAATGTACATGTGTACACTTGAAACAAGTCACCAAGCCAGCCTCTCAGTCTGCTTTGTCTCTCCCACAGAATTTTCATACACAGACCATATTTTATTTTTTATAAAAGTCCTCTTACTCTTACCCAAGATTATTATTTTATCCTTTTTTTAGTATTATTTATTTATTTTGAGAGAGAGAGAGAGAGAGAGCGAGCGCGTGCATGGGAGAGGCAGAGAGAGAGGGAGAGAAAGAATCCCAAGCAGGCTCCACACTGTCAGTGCACAGCCTGATGGCTTGATCCCACAAACTGTGAGATCATGACCTGAGCCAAAATCAAGAGTTGGACACTTAACCAACTGAGCCACCCTGGTGCCCCTAATTTATCTTACATGTGTTTGTTGTTTGTAAATTTTTTTTTCTCCAAGGGAAAACAAAAAGGAAGGAGGAAAAAAAATTATATAAAATACTAGTGATGTTTGCCATATTTTTTTTTCACTTATATCCCTTTTTTCCCCTTAAACTCTGTTAACTTACTGGAAAACACAATGAGTGTGAGAAATGACTCCCATTTGCCCATTGGTATAGTCTACCTATTAGTTTTGCTACAGGCAGGAAAAATAAAGTAAGGTCTGCATAAATTTGAAATGTATCCAGTAAATCACTTAATGCTGATGCTGTAAATAATAATAATAAATGTGTTATCTGTATAAAGTATTTTTTACTTTTCCAGAGGTTTTGTTTGATCACAAAGCAATAGTATAATATCAGTAGGGTAGATGTTGTTAATTTCTCCTGGAGATGAAAAATGGACATATAGAGAGCATGATGTGGATAAACCCAAATGTTTAATTTGAGACAGTCATGACTCCTATATCCTAGTACATACTAATTTTATTCTTGAGCAAAGGCATCTTTAATGTACTTTTACAAGTTACTCTTCAAGGGCAACTCATAGAATCAAAAGTACGTATTTTTTTTAAGAATACCGATTTTAGAGGTAGACAGCTGGGGGCCCTTTGTATTTTGTTTTCTGGCTTTGTGATTTTGGATGTCTCTAAGCCTCAGTTTCCTCACTTGTAAGATAGAGATCATAATATCTACTTTTTGAGTTTGTGGTGGGAATAAATGAGAAAAATACCGCCTAAGAGTTTAACACGACATCTGTCACACAGTAAGTTTTCAGGTCATGGTAGTGATTGAAGTCACCCAGTAGATTAAGTGGTCTGTGCGTACTCAAATGCTGTCTCATTATTAGTACCTTGAAGATGTTTTAGTGTACTGTATGTCATACAAATTTTCTTGATTTTCAAAAACCTGTATAATGTTTTAATTTTGAATAATTAGAAATCATATGCAGGCTGTTTTTTCCCTTTAAACTCTCAGCCATTTATTAAAAATCTGACATGGAAGAAAATGGTTTAAAAAATAATCCTTTCGTGTTGAAATTCTAAGTGAATGTGATCATACATTTCAGTGAACAAAGTGAGTTTGACTTAGTACTTTTATGATCCAACTTCCCCATAAAGAAGATGTTTATGGTCCACTTAATATAAATCCATATAAGCAAGATGAGTTCTGTCATATTCTCACCTTCTATAAGTTTCCACTGCCTTTGATAGAGTAGTGTCAATACTCACTATGACTTTATCTGACCTTGTTTCTTTCCTACTTTCTATATTTGTCCTTGTAGATCTTGGCACTTGTAGCTGTCAGAAAAGGCATGGACTACCTCTTCTCCCAACATGACCTCAGCTTCCTCGATGATGTCATTCCAGAAAAGGACAAGAAAAAGAAGGAAGATGAGAAGAAAAAGAAAAAGAAGAAAGGAAGTCTGGACAGTGACAATGATGATGTAAGGCTTTCCAAAATTCCAAAGTAAAGCTAAACAAATAAATGTGAGACATTTATGGATGTCATATATATATTATACTTTATGTGAGATGAATTCAGAGAATTTACCTGGCTGTGTTACATGCCAGTCTTCCTTTGCCCTTTATTTTCTTTCTTTAGTTTTTTTTTTATATTTTCTGAATTCCTTCTATAGCCATTAATATACTGATAGCAATAAAATGACTCCCCCCACCACCAAAAAAAACAAAAAAAAAAACAAAAAAAAAAACCACATCTAAAGAACTCCGATCTCCCATTTCACAGATAAAAAGAAAATTTGATTCATAATGCTGTAAAATGTATTTGCTTTACTATTGATAATCCAGGGTTTAACTTTGAGGTAATAACTCAGTTTTATGTAATTTTAAGCCTGATGTAGACAAATACCTGTGACTTCACCTCCTGTGATCTATGTATCCATTTGAGTAGGCACTCAACCAAAGTCCTCTGCTGTTGTAGTTACCCTCACACTGGACTTGAAGATTATTTCTCTGTGACCCTTCAAGGAAAAGGAAAGGGTCTTGGAGCCTAGGGTCGTTTTACAGAATTGTAGTTGTCAGTTTTGTAGTCCAAATGATCCTCCTGCAATTGGGTGATTAAGGTTAGAGAAATAAAACTATTGCCCATTTTTTCATCTTTAGTTTAGGAGACTGTTTCATGGGTGCTGCAGTAGGGGTCTGTAATCAGTGCTAGGAGAAAAGCTGGGATTTTTACACACACACACACACACACACACACACACACACACACACACACACACAGGTTGTCCCAGTAGCCTGGGATAAAGGACTGCCAAAATGACACTTTCTATGTGAAGATTTTTTCTGGATTTTACACAGTACAGTATCCGCATTCTAGTTGGATCCCTGGTAAAGTATAGTTAAGTTTTGCTGTCTACTCTGTACTTGATCATTTTGATTGACCATACATACTTGTCCTTACTTGCCATAACAGCGCCTTATAGTGTATGTTTTTGTTCCTATTTTACAGGAGAAAATTTAGACTGAGAAATGTTAAGTCATTTTTCTGAGTGTACACAGCCATAGTGGCAAAGCCAAAACTCCGATCCAGGGCTGTCTGGTTATTTCCAGTTGGTCAGGCTGTCTGGTTGTATTTTTTGTGGAGAATTTAGAAATAGTACAGTGAAGGAAGGCAACAGACACAATTGGATTTCAGATAAACTGATCCAATAAAAAAAGTCTAAATATGTGAGGCACATTTAGCTAAAGAGAAAAAGAGTCCGAGTGAAGTTTTGTGACTGTCATCATCCATCTTCAGTGAGAACAGGTGTATAGATTTTCTGTTTCCAGTGATGACAGAAAAAGGGAATGTGTTTAAATTGCAGTACAGATTAGGGTGCAGTGTTAAAAAGAATGGTTAAAAAATGTTTACACATTCAATAGAAATCAAAATTTGAAATTAATTTCTAGGCCACTCAAGACAAAAAAGGGAACACTTGAAATACTGACATAATTAAAGTAATAATTCATCTTGAATTTTCAAAACAAGTATGCCAGTTTATATACATGGACACCAAACTTAAAATTTATTACATATAACTAATATAGAAAATAATATTGTAGAATCCTCATCTCTAATAGTTTTTAAGAAAAAAAATAATAAACTGTCAAGTTTTGGGGATGTTTTAAATTTATGCTCTCTAGTTCAAAAGTTGTATCAAATGAGCTCCTGAGAAGTTCTTCTAATTCTTTGATTCAATTTTCAACAGATCATATTTTATTTAAACAATGCTATTCTTTTATGAATGATATTTACTGTTTCCAGCTCTGTATTTCCAACAGATTTCTTGAAGATAATGTGTGCTACTTGTTTCTTTTCATTTCCTCTTTTTCTTCTTGCCCCAACCCCCACCAAAAAACAACAAGCTTGTGTATTTGTCTTAGTGAACTCAACCAGGCAATTTGAGTACATGTGTGTAATAAGTTCTGTGTGTTGAGCTTATTATTTGGGGGCTCTTTATCTGGAAGGTGACTCTCCTAGTGTCCACCTGGTAATCATGGATGCTAGGATCCATGGATATAGAGAGCCACAGAGGGGCATGGGGGTTACAGCACATTTGTGAGCAGAAGTAGTGAAAAATTATGGCTTGCCAATATTTTGAGCCACTCAGTCATTTTTGGACCTTCCTGTAGGCTATGATTAAGGGTTGGCTTCCAACCTATTCATCCATAAATGCTATTATTTGGGGAAATGTTTGAAATACTGTGATTAAAACTTGTCCTTCTTGACATTCACATAAAGGTACATGCATGTGACGTCTTCATTTTTTTTTTTTTTTTTTTTGGTCAATTTAAATGCAATATCTTAGTCCCTTAAAATCATATGGTGGCTTATTACCATCTTTAGATTCACCTTAAAGGAATTTTCAATGTATGTAGTAGTCTGTATGTTAAGGTTTATTTTTTCTTTATTTTCTTTGATCTCTAGTTCTTACCCCCCTCCCCCCATCTTTCTGCTAAAGGCCATCTCTGGTAGTTTCAGTTAAGGGATGGATTTTATCTTTTCAGTCTAAACATAGATTTGGATTCAATATAATGATTTCTTTAAAAAAAGTAAGGTGGTAATCCTGTGAAAATCTGTTACAGTTTTGGCTTAGGTGACCTGTTGTTGTTTTTTTAACATTTATTCATTTTTGAGAGACAGAGCTCAAGTGGGGGAGGGACAGAGAGAGGGAGACACAGAATCGAAGCAGGCTCCAGGCCCTGAGCTGTCAGCACAGAGCCTGACATGGGGCTCAGACCCACAAACCAAGAGATCATGGCCTGAGCCAAAGTCGGACACTTAACTGACTGAACCACCCAGGTGCCCCATGGTGACCTGTTTTCTTAAACAGCCCCATGAATAGCTCCCTAGTACCTTCCTTTTGATTTTTATTTTCTCATGTTTTGCTAAGCTTTCAAATGTATTTGGTATGAGCAAATTGAAATGAAACTTTAACTATAAAATAGTTTTGCTAGAGTATTAGAGTAAGAGGGAGGGGTTTATTTTCAACTGTACATACAGGGCTCCTTGATCATGAATGTTAGTCTTCTACCTGTCTTGGAAAGAAAGATGAGTCCTCATTTTCTTGAACATGGAATCAGAAAGCATAAATGAAACAAGAATTGTAAGCCCATGTTATAGTCCAGGAAGTTTCCTATGCTAGATTTAATGTTTCATATTGAGATTATTTTCCTTATACATGTAACAAACCCATAGATATTTGATGATTGGGAATCCAGTTTATGTAAGCTTTACACTTGTTTTCATTTGTAGTGATATCTATTTGGTGTGGTTCTAGTTTTAATTAACTCCATTGACTCAGAAGAGAGGAAAACAAATGTGAGAAGGACTGTGTAGAATTTGAAAAGTTAGCAAGTAAAAATGATTATATCAAAGTATTTTCTCCTTAGACAATGTGAATGATATTATGATAGATTTGATCAGTACTGGAAGGTAAAGAAGGGCTGTATTGTAAAAACTTTCTAAAAACTGTTACAAATTTCTTTCACAGTCTGACTGCCCATACTCAGAAAAAGTTCCAAGTATTAAAATCCCAATGGACATCATGGAACAGCAACCTTTCCTAAGAGATAGCAAACCTTCCGACAGTGAGTAGAACTAACCTCTTTCATGACTGCTCAAATATGATTTGTACTTGCAGAGAAAAATCTTTAGAATTGTCATTTAATTTCCCCTCTATTTTCTTCCTGTTTCTCTATTTGAAGATTTATACTTCATTATTATAAAACTCCATTTTTTACATCCTGGAGCTTCACTCTTCTTTCTTTTATCCATAACCTTCTAAGTTTTTGTTTGGTAGTCTTTTCTCTGACCCAAGTTCCCACCAGTTTCTTTCAATTGCTAAACTTGTAACCATGTTTTTATTTTTCTTTTTTTTCTGCTGGTATTTAGAATTGCAGCTTATAGTAGTACATCACTGTCTATTACCGTTTTGTCTTCCTTAGGCTTTATTTAGCCAATGACCAAATGAGCTCAAGAGAGAAATTGCATCATAGGTCTCTAAATGATCAGTAAATCAGTTGTCCGTATTGAGAATTTGGAGTAATTGTTATTTTCAATTAAATTAGCAATCATAAAATATTAACAAAACTTTTTAGGTATTACTTACAAGATATAGTACATTTTCTTCCTAATTTCTTTATTCCTTTCCTGCTATTTTGAAAACACCTTTTTAAGTGGACTGGTTTTTCAGGGGTAATAGCCTGGTGACTAAGGTGGAACGGTTTCTGACATACCATCTTTTCTTTTGTAATTGAGTTAACAGGCCACTTGAAGAAAGGGGAAAACCTCCGAAGTAACACTAGTGAATAGCTCAAGCTTTTCCAATATCAAGTAGCAGTTGCTTCCAAACTACTTTCCCTTTGGGTTCTCATTTGAAGAAAATGTATTCTTTCAGATCCAGATGTACTTCAAAGTTTACTGATCTGTTATGAGAAAAAAGACAGTTGAGACACTTTGACTTCTGTTTGACAATGCCACTTCCACTTCAGGAAGAGGTTGCCAAGAAAAGTGTGAAATGAATGACTGTTTATGAAAATTGGGCATATTAGTTTCCTGTCGCTGTGTAACAAATTACCAAAACATTCAGCAGCTTAAAACAACAAATATATATTTTCTTCTACAGTTCCGGATGTTCAGGAATTTAGGAACAGCTGATTTAGGTGGTTCTGGCTCTAGCAACTCGTGAGACAGCAGACAAGCCTTTGGTGGGGGCTAAGCTTGAAGACAATGGGAACTGGGATCTGCTTCCATGTTCATGCGCAAGGCCATTGGCAGGAGGTTTCAGTTCCCTGGACCCTGGGCATCTCCCCGTAATATAGGTTCCCCCAAGCCCAGTGAGAACAGAGAGAGAAACCAAGGCAGAAGCAGCAGTCTTTTATAACTGAATCTCAGAAGTGACATGCCATCACTTCTGCCATGTTCTAAGGGTCACACGCCAACCAACCCTGGTACAACATGGAAAGGAATGACACAAGGACATGAATGCCAGGAGGCACCAGGAAGGCTGGGAGGCCATCTTGGAGGCTGGCTGCCACACTGGGTTTAAAGAACAATTAAAGCAGTCTCAGCTCTGATGCCCAGTCTGTAACCCATGACATGTAACTGAGGCTAATTTCTTCTCAATCCCATTAGCAGGATTTAGTTAATATTTCTTTTTTCAATTCAAGCTTCTCAAACTATATTCTGGCTTCATTTTTCATTTTATTAATGCATTCATAGCAAAACAAAACTGTGTAAGGGACACGGCACGTATGTCTTCTGTTGACATCATGACCTAGGATAGCCCTTCTAAGTACAGTTTAAAGGCTGCTGCAAAAAAATAAAAAATAAATAAAAAACACCACCAGCTAGAATTGGAGGCTCATGAAGAAAGTTGTATGGCAAAATGGTTCTTTTAGTGGTAGCTGTTATTCATTCTCTCAGAAATCCATTAGAAAGGTGCATGGAACAATTGATATGAATTAGAAATTTACTTAAGCAAAATATCTCTGATCATTCTAACTGAAATCTTTTCTAATGCCATATTAGTCTTTTATAATTCATGAAAGAACAAAATTGTTAGTAGAGGTGCAGGAAAATTAAGTTCCTCAAAATCTTCTTCTCCCCCCATGAATAACAGCAGGGCAAAACTGGGTGCCGAAGAAGAAAGGAAATCCAAGGGCAAAACTTAAGACATTAAGTAGATCCTCTACAAATGTTTGGCCTCCTACCCCCTCACCGAAAAGAACAGCGGTCCATCCCATTGTATTCACCCAGAGGAAATGAAGCTAACAGATTTTTATCTTCATCACATTAGTTAGATTCTTAGGTCAATACGGTGTCTATTGAAATTGTCTAAGTATGCCTTTCTCTTTCCCATTGTAATGCATCAATTTTTATGACAATTTTTATTTTTACTCAAATTTTATATGTTCCCTAAGTCTGCTGTTTATGATTTAAAGAATTTTTTTTTTTTCCAGGAGAAAGATCGCCAACATTCCTTGAACGCCACACATCATGCTGATAAAATTCCTTTCCTTCAGTCACTCGGTATGCCAAGGTAAAGGACAACTCGGTATTTTACATTGTTCTATGGGATGATTGCCCCTCAGAAATGTAGCCCATGGTGGATTATTGGCAGAATACCTTGTTTCCTGTCCTGTCTACAAGTTATCTGAAATCACTTACCCAATCCCCGAACCTCTCCCCAGCTTTTATGTAGAAAGTGTTCTACGAGGCCTACTATACTGCGAAGTAATGGAACTTTCATTGTCATTAAGGTAAAGCCCAGGACTCACATTCGCTTTTATTGCTTCCGCATCATCTCTGTTTGAAGGGTAACTGCTGGCAGCTCTCCAGTAGTTTTCTTCCCTAATCTTAACACGGCTGCAGAGACCTCAGACCCTCCTTGATTTTCCGAAAAGCAAAACTCATGAATATTTTCTTCATGTAAGTCTGTTTGTCCCTTTAATTTCTCACGGTATCACCTGCATGGCCGTCCTTCTTCTTGATTTTTGTGTGTGTGTTTTTTTTGAAACCTAGGTATGAAATTTTTAAGAAATTTTTTACTTGAATTTCTTGACTCTTCTGGTACCTTCCTCCCATTTAAGAATGTTTGTGTTTAATACAGAAAGAGCAGATAAGTATTTTAAAGAGAACAAAGGACAGACCCATCCAGCTTCTGCACAGTGCAGAAGTATATTTGACACATGATAAAGGAAATCTGATTTACTTACTATTTCCTTTCTTTTCTTTTTTCTCCAGTCCTCCTAGAACTCCAGTAAAAGTTGTGCCTCAAATTAGGATAGAACTTGAGCCTGAAGACAATGATTATTTCTGGAGGAGCAAGGGAACAGAAACTACATTGTAACCTGTTTGTTTTTCTTTAAAATTGACACTTTTTGTTGTTAATGTTCTGGGGTTTTGTCTGGTTGTTTATTTTTTAATTTTTGTTTTGTTTTGGGTTTTGGTCATTGGCCAAATAATATAGTGCTCACTCTGCTTCTCTCTTGCATAGGTAAAATCAAGACCATACTGCACTGTTCCTTTTTTTTTTTTTTTTTTTTTTTTTTTTTTTTTTCAACGTTTATTTATTTTTGGGACAGAGAGAGACAGAGCATGAACGGGGGAGGGGCAGAGAGAGAGGGAGACACAGAATCAGAAACAGGCTCCAGGCTCCCAGCCATCAGCCCAGAGCCTGACGCGGGGCTCGAACTCCCGGACCGCGAGATCGTGACCTGGCTGAAGTCGGACGCTTAACCGACTGCGCCACCCAGGCGCCCCAGCACTGTCCCTTAAAAACATCTGAAGAATCCCCTTTTCTTTTCACACTTTCAGATGTGTCCTCTGACAACCAAATTCCTCTGTCACTGAAGACACACACAGACCCTGTCCTTTTCCTTTATTAAGCAGAGGGCAAAAGTATTAAGGATTTTGTAACACCTTTTTAACGTATTGAAGGAACTTACAACTAGCTTTGGAGCTGTGCTTACTGGCTTGTCTGTCTGCCTGGTAGAATAAACCTTGACCTCCAGGCAGAGTCCCTTCTTGCTTCTAGAGCTTTCCAGGACTGGAAAAAGTGCTGCAATGCGAACTTGCTCTTGCTTGTAAGCCCTAATCTTAGAGTTATCAAAAGAAGAAAAACTAAAGGTACTTAACTCCCTGTAGAGAAACTGTTGCCATCCTTGTAGCAAGTGCTGGAATATCCCTTTTTCCTATGCAACTTTTTTTAACCCTTTAATGAACTTATCTGTTGAGTACATTGAAGAATATTTTTCTTCGTAGATTTTGTTGTTTAAATTATGGGGCCTAACCTGCAACTTATTTTTTGTCAATTTTTTAAACTTTTTTTTAATTACTGTAAAGAAAATGAATTTTTTCCTGCAGCAGGAAACATAGTTTTGAGTAGTTCTACCTCTTATTTGTAGCTGCCAGGCTTTCTGTAAAAATTGTATTGTATATAATGTGATTTTTACACACACACACACACACACACACACACACACACGGATACACAATCTCTAAGGTAAGCCAGAGGGCTGGATCAGATTAAAAACACCATGTTTCTAAGCATCCATTTTTCCCTTTCTTTAAGAGAAATTTACTGTTCTATGAAGAGATTGGGGAAGAAGGGAGAAGCTCCTATGTAATGGGAATAACTGATGTTTTGATAATAGTAATATCCAGACATAGATGCTGATTGTATTACCATGTCGATGTCCTATGCAGTATTTTGGACATTTTTTTCATTTTGAAATATTTGTGTGTTTGTGTACATACTCTGTGTGTGGCTGGTGCACATATGTGCAGAGTTAGAAAAAGACAGAGCGAAGGTAGGCAATGGACAGTTATCCAGACCCCTGTGTCAGTTTTCATAAAACCCAAACCCCATTATATATGAAAAATCCATGAGAGGTCTGAGAGATTTACCATTATGCAAATAAGGCTAAATATATTTTATTGCCCAGATGCCATCACGGATCCTACAAAATTCATAGAAATATTAATAGACCATTGACCTATTTATAGTGTTTATGGGAATGCAGACAGATCTGCTGAGGTATGTATATGTACATATGTGTATGTATATATATGTGTATGTATGTGTGTGTATATGTGTATGTATGTGTGTGTATGTATATATATACATATGTGTGTATATACATATATACACACACACACATTTTAACATTGCTAAAACACATGTTTTTTAGGACGGATACATTTCAAAGTACCATACTGAAAATTAGAAAAAAGAAAATTGGGTCTTTAGTCACCAAATTTAGCATGTTATTTAAGTGTAATCTTTTTAATAGGTTGCATTATGTGTTGTGAGTCTGCATAACTGAATTCATAATTTTGGATTTATGTCACCACATTTGTGATATATCCTAACTAAAACAGGTTGCTGGAGGAGTACCAGAAGCAGGATGAAGCCATTTATTTGGTTTCAATATATGCACATAGTGACTCCCACTCATTCTTGTGTTGATTAAATTATAATTCTGTCCTCTTAAAATTTTGATTATAAAAATCTTATTACCCTGAATTAGCTGTTACTTTTATAGTATCTGCTAATCTTAAAACGTTAAATTTTATACAAATTAGACATAAATGACCTGCAATTTGTTTTCATTAAAATGAAAGCAGCAGATTACGTGTTATTTGTTAAAACCTTACGCACCAGATTTTGGCATTGCGTTTGTATTTAGAGCTATCCTTAAAATGATTATACTACCTGGTTTTTCATTACTCTAATATAAAACTATATAAGAAGATTTTCCTTTTTCTTTACCAAGGGAAGCATCAAAAAAAATGTCTAAGAGCATGCATAATAAGTTCAGTCTAACCTATGATCATGTTAAATTAAAGACACCTTTATTCACTTTTATAAAAGCCCTAGATATAATACTTTATCTTTCTGATCATGAATCAAGTATTTCAGGATCTGTGCCTTTCTCCATCTCTTTCAAAGAACTCCTGAAGCGACTTAACTCAATATTTCAGCCTTTGAGCAGATCTAAAAGCTATCTGCACATCCACTTATGATCCATATTCTGTGGCAAAAGGTTGAAATTCATGATGTGAATGCAGTATAGTACTTTCTGTCTGCTAAAAGTAACAGTTAATATCACACCCTTGCAATATTTTGGAGCCCAGGGAAACTTTTTAAAAATCATTAGTTTCAGAGGAACAGAAGTAGTTACCCAACAAGCATACAAAACCTGAGGTCCATACAGAGCCACCAGATCATCTGCATTTCAGCTGAGTTTACTCATTGTCTGAGGACCAGCCGGATTTGGTGGTGGTTTTGTTTGTGTAAACTGGACACACAGAATACAGTACAAAGGTGAATTTTTCACACAGTGTCATTCCCCGATGTGAATACAGAGACATGAGTTGTTAGGAGTCCAAGATGAAGTGTACACTCCCAAGATGTCAAGCAGAAGTCCTGTGGTTGTACAAACTTACTGTTGAAGAGATCACTGGGCCAAGAGTTGGCCTTATCAAAGGAGCATAAAGGCCTCTCATTTTGCATTTGAAAGAAAATCTCTTGGAGACACTGTTTTCCTTGATAAAGATCACTCTTCTTCTGTGTGAGACAAGGACTTGGAATCCTAACTATTTTCTGTGCCACAGGCAGTAGTGATCCTGCCTCTTCTTCCAGTCAAGCAGTGGAGTCAGGGGGTGGGGGACGGAGGCTTAACGATGTGCAAAAACAAAAAGAAAACCCTCTCTAATGAGCCCCCACCTCAAGAAATGGGGGAAGGGTGGGAAGAAGTGATTATCTGCCATCAGTAAGTCAGTTTGTGTATGTTTTATGCACACGCACCAACACACACAGAGTAAATCTTTTATCAGCTATATATTGCTGTATAATATAGAGAACGATTGTCTTCCGAGTTTTTGGTTCTTTTTTTTTTTTTTTT